TACCTTGTTCTACTCTTGTGTTCTATAGGATTGTTTTCTTTTTTTTTTCTTCATTTATTTATTTTTATTTTTTTTAAATAATAAATTTTATTTTTATATTCCCCATACAATTGCAGCCCCCCCATTCTGACCCCAATCCCTCCCCTCCCGCCCCCGCCCCCCTAAAAGTGTCTCTGGTTCATAGTTTTTTGTTGATTTTGATTTTCACTTTCTTATAGTTATTCATTTTCCTGGTCCCTTATTTAAGTTTTCTAGATTCCTGCTATGAGTGAGACCATCCAGTATTTTTCTTTTTCTTTTTGGCTTATTTCGCTGAGCATGATCCCTTCCAGTGCCATCCATGTTGCTGAAAACTGCATGTGTTTATCTTTTTTGAATGCTGAGTAATATTCCATGGTATATATGTACCACATCTTCTTGATCCAGTCATCTATTTTTGGGCATTTGGGTTGTTTCCAAAGCTTAGCTATTGTAAAAAGTGCTGCTATAAACATAGGGGTGCAGGTGCTCTTTGGAATTGATGTTTCTGTGTCCTTTGGGTAAATACCTAGGAGTGGAATTGCTGGATCATATGGAAGCTCTATGTTTAGTAGGTCCAGAAATCTCCACACAGCTCTCCATAGTGGTTGGACCAGTTTGCACTCCCACCAACAGTGCAGAAGAGTTCCTTTTTCTCCATACCCTCACCAACATTTGTTGTTGCTAGTTTTTTTAATATGTGCCATTCTCACTGGTGTAAGATGGTATCTCATGGTAGTTTTGATTTGCATTTCCCTGATGACAAGTGATGTTGAACATTTTTTCATATGCCTGTTGGCCATTTGCATTTCTTCTATAGGATTGTTTTCAAGTGCACTAATTCTGTCCATTGCTTGTTTGTCTGTTACTAAGGCCCTCACTTTTATTTTTAAATCAGTCATAGTACTTCATTATTTCTGAATGTAGCTGCCTCATATTTTCATTATCTTTATTCTGTTGTTTTTAGAGCCTGTTTAAGCGCCAGAATTGGGGCTCCTTTCAGGGATTTTTTTTTTGTTCTAGTATATGTACTGTGTTCTTCTGTTGCCTCACTTTCCATTTTGTTTTCGTAAGGATAAATTTTCAACTGTTTTTCTAGTTGGTGTAGTAGTCAGAGGACTGGTACCAGAGAGTGGTGGTACTTTTAAAAGAGGACGGGGTAAGAGGCATCAAAGGATCACCTCAATATTCAGGAACCTGAAATTCGTTGTAAAACTTTTTATCGTTCGGGGAGGTGGCAGGTGTTTCAGAGAGCTCAGCCTGAGCTTCAGATGTCATCCCTCTGTAAGGAAGTCCAGGGGCTCCCTGACCTGACTCCGGCTACAGCTGTTGTTGTTATGAACCCCAGATTCAAGCCAAGAGTCCTCATTCTGTGCCCTCGGTAGTGCTTCCAAAAACATGCTCTCTGTCCTGATGCTTACTCATGTGCCTCCTCATCTAGTGCAGGGCTTTTAGGAACCTTGATGTCGGCATGTGCCCAAATCAATAGCTGCATGGGATTCTGCACTGAAGCCACTGCTCCCTCTTGTGGTTTGCACTGCCTTGTTTAAACAGTTCACTTAGGAGTTTTTCCTGCCCTTTCCAGTCAGACAGAAGCTCCTATTGTATACGCCCATAGTCAGCTTTTCTCTTGGGGTTTTGGCTCATTTCACATCAGTTTTGTTGTGTGTAGCTAGGGGGGAACCCAGCATCGTGGCTCTGCTGCCATCTTGCCAGTGTCCGCCTTTTCTTTTTAATGCTGGTTTCTTTTGTTATGCAGCTTTTCAGTTTAATGTAGTCTCCTTTGTTGGTATTTTTTAGTTTTTCTTGCTGTTGGAGACAAATCCACAAAGATGTCCCTAAGATGAATGTCAAAGGGCTGATTACTGTTCTATATATTTCATTGTTTCAGGTCTTACATTCTTTAATCCATTTTGAACTGATTTTAGCATATGGTCTAAGATAATAATCTCATTTATGTGACTATCCATTTTTTTCCAGCACCACTTACTGAAGACTTAGCTTTCTCCATGTATGTTCTTGGCTCCATTGTGGTAAATTAGTCTCCCATTTCTATCCGATTGATCTGTGTTCCTGTTTTTATTCCGAAACTATATTGATTACTGTAGCTTTGTCATAAAGTCAGGAAGCATGGGTATCTCCGTTTCTGTTTTGGTTATTTGTGACTGTTTTGGTTATTATCATTGTGATAATTCTGTGAAGAACATTCCTGGGCTCTTAATAGGGACTGCATTGGTTTAGGAAAAATGGCCATTTTGGCAATGGTGATTCTTCCAATCCATGGGCATGGAAGGTCTTTCCATTTCTTTTTGTCTGCAGTTTCTCTCAACAGTATTTTAGCTCTCAGCATACAGGTTGTCACTCCCTTAAGTTTACTGATAGATATTTCGTTCTTTTTGTTGTGATTGTAAATAGTAAAGTCATTTCTTTGATAATTATTTACATATAGAAAAGCAACATTTCTGTATATTAATTTTGTATCTGCAACTTCAGTGTATTACTATTTTGTGCTTTCATTGTAAAGTAGGTTCCCTGCCTATTTGCAGGTCGTTTTCACCCTCAGGTCTCAGTTTAGTCTCCTGTCAAGACCCTATCACCCATGCCATCCAAAGATCCCACCACCTCCTTCTCAAATTACTGTGCTATTTGTTTGTCTTGGTTTCATAGAATACAGCAGTCTGTGGTTTACTTGTTTGCTTCCTCTTCTAGAATTACATTCCTTGAGAAGGGTATCTTATTCCTAGCCTAACGCCTAACAAAATGCCTGGCACATAATAGACAGCTAATAATGAGTGAGGTGAGAAACTATACAACTGTCACCTATAGTGTTATAAACAAATGTTACCTCAATATACATACTTTGATATCTGTTTTGCACCTTAATTTTAGATGAGGTAAGGACCTGCCATTTTACCAGTTACTCAGACTGTTAAATGAAGAGGCAGTGGAGCAGTTAAAAGCCAGTACCTAGAGCTCAACTCTCCTTTGGTTCAAATCTCTGCTTCTCCACTGACTAGTGTGATGCTGGGGAAATTACTTCACCTTTGGTTGCCAGTTCCCTCACTGGAAAATGGGGACTATAGTACATACCTCAAGATTGCTGCAAAGAATAAATCCCAGCCAATCCTTGGACAACATGAATTTGGATTCATGGGTTCACTTTTATAAGCAGTTTTTCTTGTAAATAATGCCACCTGTACAGTATTAGTAAATGCATTTTCTTTTACTATTTTAACTTTAATATAAATAAGGTACATAATACACAGAAAATGTGTTGACTTCACTAGCAAGGCAAGTCAATATGTAGGCTATCAGTCAAATTTTGGGGGAGTCAAGTTATATATAGATTAACTATGCAGGTTAATCCCACCCCCTTAATTATCCAATGTAATTCACTCTGTGATTTTCATTATACAGATTTCATAACTGTTTCTTTAAGCATTCTTTCAGCCCTCTGCTGTGTAACTAGTAACTTCCCCACCCTTTACCGGTCATGTTGGAACTTCTATCTGAACAAAAAGCCAGTTTAAGGTACTGGGGTATAGTATTTGGGGTTACTCTCCTGTGCATCACCTATGAAGAATTCTTAATTATTATAACAGGACTCAGTCACAATATTAGTAAAATTAGCAACTCTATGTAACCTTTGAAACAGGCATTTCAACTGGAGATAATTCTTCCATGGCTGATTATCAGTTTTGATCATGCTGAACCAATCTGGTATCACAAAAGGTTTGTGCACTAGAAAGAATACTTTATCTTGTGTAAAAAAAAAAAAAACTCAAAATGTCAGAATTTTAGCATACTCATTTTTCTGGAAATACTCGGAAATAGTAATAGAAAAAAACCTTAACCAGAAGCCTACAGGTTACTAAAAAGTGATCAAGAATACATGGAAATAATTAGGACATTAAATATCTAATAGTCATTTATTTATTCTGAAAGCTAGTCAGACACCAGTTTTAAAAAGGGTAGAATTAATATTTTATTTTCATGTATAATCAGGGACAGCTGCAAATAAGTCTGGCTATTTAATCTGTTTTTGTAAATAAAAAAATTACAATTGTTACAGCCGATGAGTGGTTTTCGGAAAACATGATTAGATTAATTCATTAATGGTAGCTTCAAGTTTGTCCTTATTTGCTCCAGAAAATTCACCCACCTGTTAAAAGAGAATATTGAACCGACATTAGCTGTATGTAGCATTTTAATATCAATTTTGTGCCTACTGTCACAATAGGCCTTAAGAACAGGGAGGCAGAGGGTCTCCCCGGTGGTGCAGCGGTTGAGCGCTGGGCTGCGAAGCTGCCCGCAGCCTCTGCAGCGCTGGTTCGATCACCGGCCGCCGGGGAGGGTCCCACATGGCGTGCAGACCTCTCCTGCCGCCCGCTGCTCCTCTCAGCAGTGTACCTCGGTCCTTCTGCCTGCTCTGCTCCCCACTCTGGCTCTGGTGAATTCTCTCACCCTCCCACGCTTCTGACTATACTCAGTGCTTGTATAAATAAATATTAAAAAAATAACAAAAACAGGGAGGCAGACCATAGAGTAAGAGGAAATAAACACCCCTGGATAACACACAGTTCCTTTTCAGTTAAAAAACCCAACAAAATTAAGAAGTCCTCAACAGATGTGCATGCTTTTTTTTTTTGTTTTGGACACAACCTCTATAGACAAAATGAAACTGACAGGAGTATTTAAATACTCTGCAAAGTAGAAAATGGGGATATGCTTCTCAGTGGGAAGGAACAAGCCCTTCAGTCTATTCAGTTATGTTTTCCAATCATCAAGGTCAGATGTACATACCTTTTGTCCCTTTTTAAAAAACTGGAAGGTTGGCATGCATTTGACTTCACAATCTGAAGCGACATCCTAGAGGTGGGGGGACAAAAACAAGACTGAGTGTCAAGCTTTGACAGAGTGATTCAGAACCAGATTCTTTCCTGTTATCATCCCACATTACACTTTTTTTTTTTCTTTTTAAGTGAACAGGACAGTCAAGGCCCTGGATGAATTGTGGACGAGTTATCAAGAAATTGGAAGATGACAACCTAGAAGATGCAGGAAGGACTAGTTTTGCTAAAAGTTTGGAAACTGGTAGACCGGGGAGCTGAATCTGTCCAGGTAAGTTGGCTCATGAATAAAAATAAAACTCAGAGCTGGGTGCCTACTAGCAGATACCCCTTGAATACTTGGGAATACTGGGCTTACCCATCCTGTGCTTTTTGTACTTGGCCACCAGGTGGAAATCACTCCTCCTGGGAGCAGCTGGCATGAGTCCCAGAGAAGGAGGTGCTGGGGTTGGGTTTTGTACTGGGATGGGAGGGCAGTGGTCTTGGTCTGCTCCTTTGCCACCGCTAATCATAGGAACATAAAGGGTGGAACTGAGGGCTTGCAAGACAGCAGGACCTCGGCACTGATCACAACTTTGCAGATGGAAGTGCCTTACCAGCAGAAAACAGTACCCCAATCAATGGAGTGACAGGTCTATCTGATTCTGGATGTCTCATTCCTCACTCACATTAACAGCAGCATCGGCACAGGGCACCAATGCTTAACTTGCAAAAAAGCAAAAACAAAAAATTCAGAAAAAGGATAAATGCTCAGAGGTTGTGTTAATGCTTTGACATAGATTGAGTGTTTTAAAAGTCGTGGCCATTTAATTAAAAACTAATTGTAAATTGGTAAATTTTCAGTTAAAACATTAAAAATCACTTTCATACTGAAAGTGAAGGTTGTTAAAGGTGACAAGGGATTCCACATCATTATTTAATCCTCTACACTGGGCTTGTAGGTTATTTCTAATTTATGAACATCCTTGTGAGGAAATTCTCAGACACATCCCCCCAGGGCAAAATCTTAAAGTTGAATTACCAGGTTGAGGAAGTCATTTTCATTTTTAATTTCTTGAATGTGTAAGTATAATCTACGTTAATGCAGGAAAAACTTGAGGAAAAGCCTTACAGTCTACCAGCACCTATTAAATACTCACTGTAGCATACATGAATCAGCTCTTCCCTATGAAAATGTACAAATCATTGTTTATGGTCCCACAGCAGTCACTGTATGGGATCATCATTTTAATTAATCCACTGGTCAATTATGGGAGGCTGTCCTTTTTGCCAGACACATTTTTAATCTTCATATACAAATCTCTTTCCCCACTTCTTGAGGTAGAACTAAAAGAACATGCTCATTTTTAAAAGCTCTAGATAAAGATTAATAGAATATTTTCCAAGAATGTGTCCACTTACCTTGTTTATTAATTTGGCCATCCACTTTTTAAAATTTTCATTATAGTTAAATCTATCAGCCTTTTCCCACCCTATTCATTAAAAAGGTCTTACTAGATTTAGCATCAGACAGACTTTGTTCTGTAACCAAACTGTCCCAGCCTCATTTCCTTAATGGCGAAACAGAAAACAAGTTGTCAAGACTGTTTGAGATAAGGCGTTTAATGTACTTGACACAGTACCTGTCATTTCTAAATGTTCAGTATTTTATAAGATTTGTTTAAATTTCTTCTAGATTTCACTTGGGGAGGGGGAAAGCATGTGGTAGAGATGCAATATAAAATGCTCATCACGAACACTTTTAAATAGACTTGGTTCTACTGTTTTGGACTTTATTCTATTCCATGAACTGCCCTATCCTGGTTACAAGGCCACACTTAATTAATGCAGCTAACATATTTCACAGAGCATTTCATTTCCCACCCCCCACAACTTTTCACCCCAATGTTTTAGAATACTTTCCAGGATCTATCTATTAATTTCAGAATATTGAGGCTAACTTTATCTCAGTCTGACACACCTTAAGAAAGTGGGACAAATGTAGGAGCACTGACATCCAGGAACACATGACATTGGTATGATGGAATAATCATCAGTGAGATGGATGAAATTTGTAATCTTTATTCTTTTGCCAAAATGAGGTGGTGATGTTTTTATTGATCAAGTTCCAAAGCAACCAGAAGATCTACTCCTGTATCTGAATAATTGCATAGGGAAAGAACCCACTGCCTCTTGAAGGAACTGCCTAGTGAGTAAGAGCTAGCAGAGATTGTTGCTACGTGGATGTGGTGACCAAAAATGGTCTGGAATTAGTTTAATTTTTAACTCTGCAACAGATTGATAAGGCTATTTCGTTGGTGTAATAGCTATTACAGGTACTCCAAGAACAGAACAATACTGTATGCTGCTCAATCTTTAGAATACAGAGGGGCAAAGCCAAAGGCCCCCAATTTGTGAGGTTGCTTAAAGGTTTGGAAACTTTGAGGGTGTTCAAGAGACAACCAGTTCAAAATGGTGACACCTGGACTAAGTCAATATTAGTCCTATTTGGGGGTGTAGGCCTGAATTGTAGCTTTAGCCTGTCCCAGAAATGTAACCTCACTGGGCAATCGGAGTGATCTGCTCGGCAGTAATCTGCCTGATGGACCCCTTTCCTCCCTGACAGGAAGGTGACCTTGGCTTATCTAGCTCCTTTCTGTCTATAAAAACCTTTCCTTTTGTAGTTTGTTGGAACTCCTATTTGCTATCTGGGAAGCTGCCAGGTTTATGAATTATTTGATAACGCCAATTACATTCTTAGGTTTACTCAGTTGAATTCTGTTTTGAACCACGGGGATGATGCATGTGCCAGCCAGACATAGAGGAGCATGGACATACAGCAGTCCTGGATGGCTCTGCACAGAGGTCCTGGAGGAAGCAGTGGGAGCAACAGGCAGGGTCAGCCTGCACACACCCTCCTCTCCTGGCTACAGTCCTGACCAGCTGAATGGGGGTGCTAATACCAACTGTCACGTCATTTAATCCTCACAGTAACTCCATGCAGAGGGCTTACTGCAGCATCCAGTGCAACCAAAATTCATTTAGTTGCTACCTGGTAGGACAATACTAGCCTAGAAGTTTCTCCAGCCCTTTCCAGGTGCTATTTTCAACTGGCTACGAAGACCATACAGGAAAAATAGGACTAAGTTAGGTTAAACCAGGGAGCAAGGTCTTTTTCGCAAACACATGCTATCTATTCTCAGTAAAAAAATCTCTCCAGGACACATTAGAGTAACTTCACAATCAAAAATACTACATGGGGCCTCCCTGGTTGTGCAAGGGGTTAAGCACAGCACTATAAGGCCAAACACAGCATCTGCAGCACAAGTTTGATCCCTGGCCAGGGAGCTACCCACATGGTGTAGCAGACCTCTCCTGTCTCACCTGCTGCGCCCCTCAGCAGTGTATTAAAAATATAGATACACATGACTAGCAGGTGTGCTAGGTAAAGGGGAAACAAAGATGAACAAGACAGATTCCTGACTCTAAGAAAACTACAAAACAGAAATAAGACTTACTGAATCTATACTATATGCCAGGTACTGTTGGAGGCACTATCTTAATTCTGACAACTACCTTATGATGTTGGATTAATACTGTCATTACAGAGAAGCAAAATGTGGTAGCAGAAGATAAACAGCTAAACCTGCACAGCTAATAAGAGACCAAACGGCAATCAAGCAGCCTAGGGAGAGAATCCACCCTATTCTATTGCCATTTGCCATAAATAAGGGGAAACTAACCTAGTCTGGGTTACAAAGAAAATGGTTTATGGGGGAAGAATGTGAGGCAGATGAATAGGATTCAGGTAGGAATAGGGCAGGCAGTAGAAGACCACACAAGATAGAAGAATGAATCAGAAAATGTGGAGAAAATAAGCAATTTGGTGTTGGTAGAATTTAATTGCTCTAACAAAGGCAGTGAAAGGTGTTTCGTATTTGCTCAGGGACTAAGCAATCAATTTTGAGAGGCTGAGGAGAACTAAGGGCTTAAGAAGATCACCAGTTGGTGGAGCCTCTCTGGTGGCCTAGGGGGTTAAGTCTCAGTGCCTTCACCATGAGGGCCTGAGTTTGATCCCCGGCCAGGGAGCTAACTCATCAGACAGGCGCGGCAGGCCTCTCTTATCTGCCTGCTGTTCCACTAAGTGCTGTAATCCCTCTCCTGTCTACCTTGCCCTCTCTCCCCCCCCCCTCTCTCCCCCCCCCTCCCCCCCCAACTCCGGCAAGCCAACATGAGCTTAGCTCACCCCAAAGAGAAAATTGGGGAAAAATTGTATGCCCCTACATGTAAGGTGAGGAAACGAGGTAGAGGTTGCCATTACACACAAATGAAATGGAATAAGAGGAAATTATGTGCCAATATTGGATGTTTATAGTGTGAGAATGCCAAAGTGAGCCAGTCTCTGGTGGCGCCACCATGGCGTGGTCTGGTGTCGTCGTGTGGTGGGATGTGTGGCCGTGTGGTAAACAAAACCAGATGCAGTAGACAAGAGATGTGCTCAATGGGGAAAAGTCTGGTCTCCCTAGAAGGAGAGCTCCAAGTGTAGGCTGAATTACCAGCGAGTGAGGGTGCATTGGAGAATAGAATTTAGTGTGGAGCTAGCAATGAAACTTATGATATGATTGTCGCTTTCCACCTTGGCATTAAGTCTCAGCACCATCACTACAAAATAAAAATTAAAAACATTTCAATCTTAGGTCTGTGGTCCATACTAATTGAGTGACACTGATTGATGACAGGGATCACTTCAACTGAAGTCACAAAAGCACAGATTTTTGCAACTGAAACTTAGCTAATACCTTTCTGATTACATTACATCCCCGCCAGGAAGCATGATACCTATGGCACAGCAGACCTCTCCTGTCTCACCCGCTGCTCCCCTCTCACCCGCTGCTCCCCTCAGCAATGTATTTCAGTCGATCTGCCTGTTCTGTTCCCCACTCTGTTTCTGGTGAATCCTCTCACCACCTGTACCTCTGGCCTATACCACCCCCCCACTCCTGTTCTACACCCAATAAAGGCAGCACCAAGGATTAAATGAATTAACACTACCCACAGCACATACCAAATGATAAACATGCATTTGTTCAACTGAGCCAACCCTGGCATCCCCACACCCAAATTATTCTCTCAGACGGCTGGGTGATCTATTGACTGAAATAAACCAAGACTTGAATAGGCTTATGAATATAATTTCTCGTGTCGCTGTTCACAAGGAAGGTTAAAAATACCCTTCTTCCCAATTTAGTCATACCATCATATCTACTGAGATTTAGTAGAGACTAAAAAAGTAGAGACTAATTAAAAGTTCAAACTTTCAGACTAGGGACCAGGTAAGCAGAAAAGACATACATGTTCTCTGACTCAAAAATGCTAGGTCAATCTGTAGGCTTCTAGAAAGATAGGTGATAGAGGCACAGAAGTCTCATTTGCTTTGTATGTGATGTACACAACTCCTGATATCTGAGATTAAGCTCAGAATTGGCACAATTACCTATTTTAGAACTTTTAGCTAGGGTGATGGTTCTAGGAGTACTTGACATGTTTATGAGAACCAGCATTGTGCCATTCATCGAGAAAGGCAATGTGAGCAGCTCAACAGTCTTCCAAATCAGGCACATACCTGACAGTCATCCACATCAACTTCAAGGAACACCACATTGGTGTACTTTTCAGAGAGGGCCTGGAAAATTTAAAAGGAAAAATCCATAAAGATTTAGAACTGGGTAATGGTAGTCCACATACACAAGATTTTTTTGAGATTGCATTTTAAAAGTTCAGGTCTAGGAAAAGGAGAAAAGGGCACGTACATCATCACAGGCGGGCAGGAGAGCTGCTCACAAGCTTCTTAAATGGACAGTTAAAAGTAGAGACTAATTGGGCCTCCCTGGTGGCACAGTGGTTGAGCGCTGGGCTGCAAAGCTGCCCGCAGCCTCTGCAGTGCTGCCAGCGAGGGTCCCACATGGCGCGCAGACCTCTCCTGCCATGCCCGCTGCTCCCCTCAGCAGTGTACTTCGTCGGGCTGCCTGTTCTGTTCCCCACTCTGGTGAATTCTCTCACCCTCCCACGCTTCTTACTGTACCCAGTGCTTGTATAAATAAAATAAATAAATTTAAAAAAAAAAGTAGAGACTAATTAAAAGTTCAATCATTCAGACTAGGGACCAGGTAATCAGAAAATACATACATGTTCTCTGACTCAAATTCCTCTTAATAATTTGGCACATCAACTGAGGTCTGATTGCAATGAGAACCCATGTGTCAACTTCATGAAAAAGACATTCAAAGACATGCAAATTTTGAAAGTTGTTCTCAATCTCAATGGGTTGCCAGCATCAAATCTAAATTAAGTTGTATTACTTCTATGCTAAAGATCTGATCCCCTCAAAACCCTTTAGCTGTAGTTTCCTAGTTCTGTGACCACTAACCTCCCAAAACCACATCTCTTACAGAGCAGATTTTTAATACTCACATGAAAGAAAGGCTTGATCATTTTGCAAGGCCCACACCACGTGGCCGAGAAGTCAACGACTACGAGTTTATCTCCTGCACCATTCAAGGCGTCCTGAAAAGCAACCTAAGAAGAAGAGAAAAGCACACGTTACATGCTTCATTTCCAAAAAGGTTTGATAAAACTCGAGAACATGCGACACAAAGTACAATGTGGAAGTCTGGCTTTCTGGACCAGTTTTTTAGCAAAACGCCAAAACTGATAAGTTTGAAGCACTATTACTCAGTGTTGTAATTTACTTGAAACAAGTATCCTGAATATTAATATTTGTACCTTCAGGACTATTCTTAAATAATTAGTAATATCTTTATTCCAACTAAACAAAATGAAAATAAAAATTAAAACCATTTCAATCTTAGGTCTGTGGTCCATACTAATTGAGTGACTACTGATTGATGACAGGAATCACTTCAACTGAAGTCACAAAAGCACAGATTTTTGCAACTGAAACTTAGCTAATACCTTTCTGATTACATTAATATTATTGTGTAAAGAGCCAGGGAAACAAACTCCAAGCTCCCTCAAACCCATCCACTCAGCCCATCAATACTGACATTAAGCTTATTTCCTTGCAGTCTTTTCAATTGGAGTTTGCACAGTTGATATCAAACTGTTTATTTACCTTTGCTTTCTGCCCTTTATCTCAAAAGTTTACCCTTATTCATTTGGTCAACAATGAGGAGAATAACGGTTTTAGTTTCTCATGATGGTAATTTCCTTAGGTATTATTTGCATGAGGAATTCATGTTAATAACATTACCAGAAGAATAATCAAGAACTCCTTACCATTATCCTTGAATAATTTACTAATGGCTTTGATACTATACCCCTAGGAAACCAACCTTGTAATAACAAGGGATTTTTTTTTTTAACCAAAATTAGTGCTGACCAAAGCCAGGGCAACAAAGTCTAAACACAAACAACTATATCTGAAGTCTAGATTTTCCTCAAGGGAAAAATGCTTGTCACATAGTTTTTAATTAAACAAAACATTCCCTTCCTTTGAAAGCTAAGAATCCTATCAGATCTGGTCCACTAAAAATCAGTGAACAAGACACCACTAAACAAACAAACAAACAAAAAAACCCACTAAAAAACCTAAAGTGAATTCCCATGAATCATAGTTCTCAAGAGTCCTAATTTCTACCTCATGGGGTGGGGGGGGGGAAGGGGAAGGGTGGGGATGGCAGGAGAGTGCCATTCACAAATGGCATTCCAAAGAATGGTAGGTCATGACTTCTATAACCTATTATCTGGGGAGATGTGGATTTGGGTGGGGGTGGTAGGGATGGTAGGCCAGGGAGCGTATGTTCAAAGTACAGAAATTATTTTTCCAAACCATCACTTTTTCCTTCAAAATAATTTTATCAAAAGCCTTCCCTAATGTATGTGTTTTGTTTTGTTTTAGGTCAAACCAGCTACATTTTACTTGATGATGCAGGAAAGAAGTCAAGGAATGCTCACAATATCTGGTCAGTTGAATTGTGTTTTCTGAACATGGTTGAGCTTGGTGGGATTTCTCTCAACACAGAGTGTATTTCAAACACATTCAAAGGCTCCAAAAATTCTGATTCAAATTCAAGTAAAACTTATAAAAGAGGCAACAATAACTTTTGGTTTAACTGAACCTGAGCTACAGAACCAGACATGCGAGGATCTCTTATCCTGATACTCAAGTTTGCTTGTAATAGACATCAGTTTGGAAAGGATCAGGACTGTCTTACTACAAAGCAAACCACAATTCCTAGCACCCAGAATCTAACAATGAGTATTAAAAAAAGTCCCCATCACTGACATTAAACATTTCAAAAACAAAACAATGTATTTATGGTAAATAAGAGTGAGTCTAGCATCTTTTCCTAAACATCTTCAGTCCCAAGGGAAATTAATCACCAGAGTGGTTCCTGAAACATCTAGCAAAATACCTGTGTGTACAAGACTGGAGTTCAGTAAATTAAAAACATCACCAATAAAAAAAAAAGTGTGATTTCTTCCTCAGGGCATTTATTGCCCAGTGTATAGCCCATTTATAGCCCACTCCTGTCTCAAACAGATCCCAGTGACTCTCAACTGCCAACGCAGTGCCTTCAGCCAAACAAAGGCTCCAACTTTCATCCACCTGGATAGAAATCTAAGGTGAATTTCAGTATTTACAAGTAACATTCAAATTAGTTTCACTTTGATTAATGACTCTGGATCATAGTTTTGAAGATCAATTGAGTACCAGGGCCTTTGGGCCCAGGCTTCAGTGCTTTTTTAATCAACAAATTCCCTGTTACTCTTGTGTATTTTCTTACTAATGGAGGAGGGTGCCACACTATGACCACTAAGAAGGGGGAAAGCAGGTGTGGATCAGTCCATCCTCTGTGGTGTATGGTTTCTGAGACAACTAATACAGCCACTCAAAGGTCTTCTCACTCCTTTAATGAGTTCTCACCTGTTGGGTTATACCCATCAAGGCCTGGAGAACACTCACCCTCTTCACACTCCCTGCCTGTATTTGTCACTCAGTGGAGAGTGAATAAAAGCATGTGAAAAAAACTCATTATTAGGGATAACTCTCTTCAAATAGGAGAGGGCTGTTAATTTTAGGTAAAAGCTCATACAACAGAAAAAAAAAAAAAAATGAGGATCCCATAAGAAAAAACTAAGCAAGTAACAGGTGACCATTAGCCAATCAACATATGTTGGGGGGTAAGGGCAGAGTCACAAAGTTTCAAAGATCAAATGAGAACCACATCCTTTCCTCTTAGGATTTAGCCAAAGTGGGGGGCAGGAAGGAGGAGCTCAACTTCATGTTGCTATAGGAGCAGTCAAAGGGGCACCCTAGGCTTGAGCTGCATTAACATACCTAAAGTTCACATTCCTTGACCCAATACTGCTCTTTATTATGAAGCAAGAGTCTGAACTCTGCACAAAAGGTTATGAACAAAAATATTCACTGAGGCATGGAAAACTGCCTCCATGTCAGCGATGTGTTCAGATTCTGAAATGATAGCTTCCAATTACATGAGAAGCGTTTGGGCAAAACTGGACAGAAAAAAAAAAAAAAAGCGCTCAGAAACAAAAGAGCATACACAAAATAACCAATAATCTCAACTACCTGTGGCTGCTGCTAGAAAATCTCTCTTCTTTCCAACATTCTACAATGATCATACATGTTTTCCCTTCATAAAAGTAACAAAGGATAGGGCCCATTACAAGAAAACACTCGTTTCTGAACCCTCCCCAGCGTCTAACAGGTCAGGGAACCCAAGGCAGACAAGGACCCCCCTAGCCCCTGCTTCCCTGGGGTGGGGGGCATCGCAGGGGCAGCGCTTTCAAAGGGTCTTCCACTGCTCAAGTACCATCAATTTTCTCTCACTGTCCTAAGCGGGTTTCACCATTATTTCTTAAGGGGCTACAATGTACCAGATACTGTGTCAAGGTTCTAAGTTTCCAATCAGGAGGGTATTTTGCAATAACTCTGGAACGAGGTGACACTTTCGGGCTGGGGCTTTCTGAAAGGCCAGAACCGCCATGCGGGTGCCCAAAGGCCGTGGCGCACACGCGGGTCAAGTCTGCTCCCACCAAGTACAGATGAATCACAGAAGGGTAGGGCAGCGGAGGCCCCGGGGCCCAGGGTTGCAACTGAGTCATTCCAAAACCAACGCTGCCGGAAACGCCCAGCGCCGCAGGAGGAGGAGTCCCGAGGGCGCGGCCAGGACCTCACTTCCTTGCGGCCACCTGGGCCGCTCGGCCTCCGGGCCCGGCATGCGCTCGCGAGAAAAGGGGGGTGGGGGGTTCCCAGCCACGAACCGCTCCCTAGGGGCGGACCCAGCAGGGGGGTCAGGAGGTGAGGGAGAGGGAGGCAGCCCTCCGGCCTATACCCGAGCCCGAGGGAGCCCACCTTACCCAGCGCGGGTGGAAGGAGTCACTCTCCCGGGAGGGTGTGGCGGTCAGCACGCCCCGCGCTCTCCACGGCCCTCCATCTTCTTGCGCGGGCCCGCATCCCTTCACCCCACCCAGGTTTCCCGGGCGGTGGGTGCAAGACGCACAGCGGGGGCATTCTCCAGGCGCCCTGGGAGCGGGTAGCGCAGGGCACCCCGAGCCCTCTCTCCAGGGGCCCTCGTGTCTCTCCTTCCTTCCTACAGGGCAGGCTCGCCCGCCTGGGGCGCGCCCGCGCCCCGCTCCCGCAGTCCCAGGCCGAGCCGGCGCGTCCCCTGCCCAGGGCTGCGGGGGGCGGCCTGCCCACCTCCGGCCCACCACCTTCCCCGCCGGGGAGGCTGCGCGTCGCGCCCCGGCCTGCCCCGGGGGTACGTACCTTGCTGTCAATCTGCTTCACCATTTTGGCTGCAAGAGTCTGACTAGCGACCGTGAGAACCGATGGAAGCGGATCCACAGAGCCGGAACCGAGCTTGGAACCGAGCGCCGCCCTCCTGCGCTTTATACGCGGACTCCACCGGGGCGGAGCGGACGGGCGCGCGCGACGTGCGTGTGGCGGGGGCGCGCCCGCTCGGGCCTCCCGCGCCCGCCAAACCCAGCCAGGCCCCGCCTCTCCGGATCGCCCCGCCGCGGGGCCCCCGACTGGACCGCTGCTGGGGGCGGGGCTGGCTGGGCGGGGCTCCGGGGAGCCCGGCCCGAAACCCGCGGCACCGCCCCGCCCGCGCCCAGCCGGGGGTGGGCATTTGCGGGTGCCATCGGTTACCTAAGAGGCACCTGCATTGTGCTCGGGGCAGGGCGACGGCGAGGCGGAGGGCCGCTCGCAGAGGCGCGGTCACCTGGGGAGGGGTCAGGCAGGCTGGATCGAACGCACCCGGGCTGGAGAAGGGCCCGCCTGGATAGCGGCTGGATTCCTTACTAGGGCCCGGCACGGCCGGGTCCTCCAACCCCGCGAACCCCACAAAGTGCTGCGTCATGGTAACCAGGAAGTATCTCCACGTGTGAGCCCCGGCAGGCTATCGAGAATATCTCCTCTGCCCGCTTTCGTGTTCTCTCACTTTGGTGGATAATTCCGCTCTCAGCGTGACACAGCAGTTTAGACGGTGGACTGGGCTAACTGGACTTTCAGAGCAGAAAGCTGAGCTTGAGAGCAGAGAGCGAGCTTGGTGAACATTGCAACTTGGTGACACATTTGTGACCCTAAGCAGGTCGTCACTGGACAGTGCCTCAATTTTCCTTTTTGTAAAATGGGAATCATGATCTCTCTCATGGTGTTGATGTGTTTAGAGGATTATAAAGTTCTTGTAAAGTGATTAGGGCAGTGCTTGGCACATATCAAGAACCCAATAAATAGTTCTATTTATAATAGTTGTGTGTACTAATGAGGCTTGCTTGGTGTTGTGGGGGGTGGTCCATGATGAACTTGGGCACCTTATAGTTATAATGGCACCAGAACACACATTTGTGTGAGGGTTTGTTTTGTTTTGTTTTTTCCTGCCACTGGTAGAAGCCTGGAAAAGAGAATTAGGGTGTTTGTGCTGGTACCAGGATGCATGTTGCAGGTTGCGTCTGGCAGGGCTGGGGATTGTGGAAGGTATGTTCCCTGGCATTTTGAAGCCAGTTGGGCCTATCAGCTGCTGGCATTGGAGGTGATGAAGGTGTTCTGCTGGAGAAAGGAATGAGAGTCAGCAGGGGGGTGGGAGGTAGGATGCTGTGGAGGTGGAGCTGGAGGTGGAGGTGTGCAAGCATGAATTTGCATCTAGGTGTGATTGACTGGGATGGTGAAATGCTTCCTGGCTTCTTCCTCCCTTCTTTTTCAAACTGTAGCAAAGAAACCAAGAGGATACTACACTACGAACAGTCCAAGACAGGATGGATGGACTGGTCTGAATGCAGCAGATTTCCCAGAGAGCAAAGACTATTGCGACAGACAAGAGGTCCTTCGGATACCAGGGACAGAATATAAAATCTTTCTCTGCTGCTGTGTCTGCAGTGCAACTTACGTCCCAGCTTCTGGGTCTATTGGTTGCTGCAATTACATGGAAGGCGACAATAATTGAACAGTGGGAAGGAGAGTCACAGATCTCTACTGGCCACCTTCAGCTGATACCTCCTCTTCAGAGACCTTCCAAATGTCAGGTGACTCACTTGGAGGACATACTGGCCCTTCCCCATCTCCACAGGACTAATGGAGAGTGGATATGGGGGATGTATAGTGACAGAGAACAGGGAAATGGGAGTTATGTATATGTTAGTATATGTTATAGTACATGTTAAGGGCTCAGACCCTGCAATTAGATTCCCTGTCCTCTCTACTGAGTGGTCCCCTTTACCATTCAGTAGCTGTGTAACTCTAGACAAGTCTAAAAATAGCCTGTCTCAGTTTCCTCTTCTATAAAATGGGGGTAATAATACCTCATGGCATTATAAGGGTTGAGTGAGCTAAAATATATGTAAAGTGCTTAGAACCATAAGTGCTATATAAATTGTGATTACAGACTATTAAATGAACTGGTGAAATCTCCCTGGGATGATGATAGAGGAGGGTGATGGTCAAAGTCTTAAGTGAATGAAGTAATCAGGAAATTAGTAATGAACAGTGAATGCTATAATGCAAATATCTAAGGAAAAGGATTTCCCCCAAAGGATGAAAGAAATGGGCTCAACCTGGCCACAGAAAAAAGTCCTCTGCCAGTTGTAGCAAGGAGGTGACATTCTATGAGAAGAGGGAGGTCAAGGGAATTCTTTAGGGCAGCCCCGTAATGAAGCATAGTGATCTGGGATAAGCGTCCTGGGGACCTTAGTAACAAACTTTTACTCAGTTCCTGGTATGCAACTTAGTACCTGATATGAATCATGTGCTGCCATGAGGCAGGATGTACCTGGGGGGTCCCATGACTACTGAACCTTCACTCATCCTTGGTATGCAACTATACGACTACCTC